CAAAGTTCTGAGGTAAAAGGACATTTAATCTAGAACCCTACATCCAACCAATGTATGAATCAAGCATTAGGGGAGAACAGAGACGTCTTCATTTTGTGATTAGGATAGTATCATTTCTTTTTTTTTTGAGACAGAGTCTCACTCTGTTTCCCAGGCTAGAGTGAGTGCCGTGGCGTCAGCCTAGCTCACAGCAACCTCAAACTCCTGGGCTCAAGTGATCCTCCTGCCTCAGCCTCCCGAGTAGCTGGGACTACAGGGATGTGCCACCATGCCCGGCTGATTTTTTCTATATATATATTAGTTGGCCAATTAATTTATAGTAGAGACGGAGTCTCGCTTTTACTCAGGCTGGTTTCAAACTCCTGACCTTGAGCAATCCGCCCGCCTCAGCCTCCCAGAGTGCTAGGCTTACAGGCGTGAGCCATCGCTACCAGCCAGAGAATTTTCAGATAAACAAGAATCAAAGAGTCTGCCTCCCTATACTATTTCTTAGTGTTACAGTATATAACTCTAAGATGGGTCCAGCAAAAAGGGCATGAAAGATGAAGAATAAAAATGAAGATGTAGATATGAGGGAAAAAAGTAGATCCAAGCCTGATAAATAGGGGAAGAGAGTCCTATGGTGACAGTTCTGTATTAGAGCACATTAACTACACATTAATCAATTTATCCTGAAACAGATGAGGGCTTCTGGGATAGAGGTCTCCAGAACAAAAGAGGTTATAATACAATAAGAAATATATTAATTGAAAATTTGGGGAAAAAATAAGGATGTGATAATGGTAGAAAATGAAAGAAAAGAAAAAAAGGCAGCTAGAAACTCCAGGAAAAACAACAAACTGAACAAGGCTGTCATAGTCCACATAATGAGTAACCATCCAAATAGAATAGCATTCCAAAGAAAGAGATGAATCCTAAAGAAAACATACATTTTCTAATGACAAAAAACAGGCAACCGTAACTTCAGGAAGAACAAATAATACTAAATAACAAAGGCATAGTTCAAGTATGAAATAAACTAAAATATGGCAGAGTGAATAGAAACTGGCAGAGTGCAAGAAGAATATTTTCAAAATACATTTGAAAAATTTGAGAAGCATGGGTCATGGTATTGAAACTGTTATCATAATACACTACTGGGCTTCACAGTAAATTTGTTTACTGGTTTTAAAATTTTTTCAGCAGGAATACTCCTATCAAATCTAAGTCAGGTCATTTCACTCCTCTGCTCAAAACCTCCAACGGCTTCCATTATTATACTCACAATAAAGCAAAGTCCTTATACGCAATGTCCTAAACCAGGCCCTATCTGCCCCTCCCATCACTTCTCTGACCTCATCAAGTATTCTTTCCTTGATTACACTACTCTTGTCATACTGGTCTCCCTGTCATAGAGCTTTGTACTTGCTGTTCCATTTGCCTGGAATGATCCTCTATATATCACATGTCAGCTCCTTCATTTTTTCAAGTCTTTCTCAAAATCACCTTCTTAGCAAGACCTTCCTCTGACTCTATTTAAAATTCCTACACTTCCTGTTGACATTCTCTTTCCTTGACCTTTCTCTGCCTTTCGTTTTGAGGCAGGTTTCTCCGCCTCGGCACTCGTGACATTTTGAGCCCGCTAATTGTGTTTATCCGGGCTGTCCTGTGCATCCTGGGACTTCGTCTGCGTCGCTGGCCTCTACCCGCTGCATGCAAATAGCACCCCCACTCGTGACAGCCGAAAATGTCTCCAGACTTTGCCCAATATCCCCTGCCGGGGAAAATCGCCCCGCTTAAGAACCGCTGTTTAAAGGTTAGCCTGAGTTTTCGGGAAATGTCCCTCTTCCAAGAGAAGGAAGGTACGAAGCCGGAAGCAGCGATGTCTTAGCTACGTGAACGCCTTGCGGCCGGGCTCGCCCCTCGTCCAGAAGCCGTCAGACTGGTCCCGCGTCTCGCGTTGTCCGGAGTCGGAGCCGGCCGGTGACAAGGAGCAGGTCAAGGAAGGTCGCATTCCAGAAAGCGCCGCCGGGAGGACGTACAGGTGCCACTCGCGTAGCCGGTCGGGGTCTTGCAGCCGCCCGTACAGAGAGAAGGGCTTTGGGCCGTCCGGGAGATGTGACCGGTTTCCTCGGTACCTATCCTGTAGCAGGTCTTGCTGTAGGGGAAGGTCGTGTTACAGAAGGGCCTACGCGATCACGCAGGGGCAGCGCTACTAAGGCTTTCACCCTATGGTGTACCGCAAAGAACACAGCAAGTGGAGGGAGAGATGCAGGAAGAGATCGCAGAGCAGAACCCCCTTTCACTTAAGTGGAAAAGGTGAGTCATTTGTCGTTAAGAGAGGCACACAGGCTCATCATATTTATATGTATGGCAACAGTATATGAGTAGGATAGGGAATTAAGGTGATTGTGTTGTGTCCTTTGATACATAAAATCTATGTAGCTTTGGGTTTTTTAGAGGGCGTTAGCCAATTAGTAGATAAAAGTATACAATACATTTAGTTTTATCCAAAGGCCATTTTTAAATGGACATCATTCTTATCCCTCAGGATTAAAGATTAATTGTGACTGTTTAATGTCTCAGGGTGGAGGAATCTAGTGCAGGCAATTCTTGATGAAACTTTTCTTTTTTTGAGACAGCACCTGGCTCTGTTGCCTTGAGTAGAGTGCAGTGGCATCGTTCATAGCTCACTGCACCCTCAAACTCCTGGGCTCAAGGGATCCTCCTGCCTCAGCCTCTCAAGTAACTGGGACTTACAGGGATGTGCCACCATGCCCGGCTGATTTTCTATATATATATATTAGTTGGCCAATTAATTTATAGTAGAGACGGAGTCTCGCTTTTACTCAGGCTGGTTTCGAACTCCTGACCTTGAGCAATCCGCCCGCCTCAGCCTCCCAGAGTGCTAGGCTTACAGGCGTGAGCCATCGCTACCAGCCAGAGACATTTTCAGATAAACAAGAATCAAAGAGTCTGCCTCCCTATACTATTTCTTAGTGTTACAGTATATAACTCTAAGATGGGTCCAGCAAAAAGGGCATGAAAGATGAAGAATAAAAATGAAGATGTAGATATGAGGGAAAAAAGTAGATCCAAGCCTGATAAATAGGGGAAGAGAGTCCTATGGTGACAGTTCTGTATTAGAGCACATTAACTACACATTAATCAATTTATCCTGAAACAGATGAGGGCTTCTGGGATAGAGGTCTCCAGAACAAAAGAGGTTATAATACAATAAGAAATATATTAATTGAAAGTTTGGGAAAAAAATAAGGATGTGATAATGGTAGAAAATGAAAGAAAAGAGAAAAAGGGCAGCTAGAAACTCCAGGAAAAACAACAAACTGAACAAGGCTGTCATAGTCCACATAATGAGTAACCATCCAAATTAGAATAGCATTCACAAAGAAAGAGATGAATCCTAAAGAAAACATACATACTTTCTAATGACAAGAACAACAGGCAACCAGTAACTTCAGGAAGAACAAATAATACTAAATAACAAAGGCATAGTTCAAGTATGAAATAAACTAAAATATGGCAGAGTGAATAGAAACTGGCAGAGTGCAAGAAGAATATTTTCAAAATACATTTGAAAAATTTGAGAAGCATGGGGTCATGGTATTGAAACTGTTATCATAATACACTACTGGGCTTCACAGTAAATTTTGTTTACTGGTTTTTAAAATTTTTTCAGCAGGAATACTCCTATCAAAATCTAAGTCAGGTCATTTCACTCCTCTGCTCAAAACCCTCCAACGGCTTCCATTATACTCACAATAAAAGCAAAGTCCTTATACGCAATGTCCTAACCAGGCCCTATCTGCCCCTCCCCATCACTTCTCTGACCTCATCAAGTATTCTTTCCTTGATTACACTACTCCTGTCATACTGGTCTCCCTGTCATAGAGCCTTTGTACTTGCTGTTCCATTTGCCTGGAATGATCCTCTATATATCACACGGTCAGCTCCTTCATTTTTTTCAAGTCTTTACTCAAAATCACCTTCTTAGCAAGACCTTCCTTGACTCTATTTAAAATTCCTACACTTCCTGTTGACATCTCCTTTCTCTACTTTTATATTTTCTCCCTTGCACTTAATTATCTAACATGCTATGTATCTTACTTCTCTTTAGTTACTGTCTCCCTCATAATTAGGGTAGAAACTCCAAAAAGGCATGGATTTTTTCCAGTTTTATTCACAAATATATCTCCTGTACCTAGAGCAGAGCCTGGAATACAAAAGCTTAATAAATATTTGTGGGAAAAATGAATAATCCCTTAGACAAAGTACACAGCTTCTGACCTAAATGTAAAGTTATAAATGCTGCCAGTATAGAAATAAAAGGATAACTGAGACAAGCTGGGAGATAGAAGAGAGGTAGAAGGAAGAACAGAAGACTGCTGCTTTTCTTTATAAATCCTTCTCTACTATTTGACTTTTAAATCATGTCCAATATGTTAATTTGATAACATTTTAAAAATTTAAACCTATGCAACTACATGTAAAACACTTTTATCTTGTGGCAATCTATGTAAATAGTTCCAATAACAATGACACTTACATTAGGAAGGCTATGGTTGCTATAACACCACAGGCATGGTATGAGTGGTTGAAGTCTTCCATAGTGGGATAAATAACAGCTGCATCTATGATAATCCACCAGCCTGTAAAAAACTAAGACAGACAAACAAAGGTGATACCAATAAGAAATTATAGCAATTTCATGTCTTACTGGCTAAAAGAAAGCAAGGTATCTAAATGAAGGGATTTCAAAATTTCAAAATTTTCTTAAATGTTCCAGCAGTTTCCTGCATATAATTTGCACATGGCTGATGCAAATATTAGGTACCTTTAAACATGACAGCAATAATAATGAACTTTTTTCTACACCTACTTCAATCATTATTTTATATTGTCCTACACAGCCTGTAATCTAACTTGGTCAACCAGAAACAAGTACAATATCTCATGGCAGGAGAAAGAAAAAAAGTGACTCAGGTTCCCACTGACAGAAGAAGTACCCTGCTGCTGCTATAATCCTCCAGAAAGATATCAAAATTAAAAAAAAATCATTCACATTATCAAGTTAATATGGGGAACAATTACTATTGATAGAATTTAGCTATCACCTTGGTGTTATGAAATAACAGCTCTGCAGTTTGCTTTTGATGAATTATAGTACAGTCTGCAGATGGTTTCAAGCATAGTTTTAGATTCAGTTTAAATACCAGATTATAATTTATCTAACTGAATTTGGTTCTGGATATTATCAAGGGCAAATATGTAACAAAAAAAACCCAAAACTGCACAAATATTTTTTATCATCTGAGCAGAAATTTACAATAAAAATAGTATTAGCCAACTTCTGACAAGCAGCTTAGGTTTTGAAAATAAGCCCCTTTCCCACTTCCACCCCTAACCTAATCCAGTTAGCTCTGGGAACTGCCATCTTTGGGCAATTATTTAAAAATAACTATCTTAGGCTAGTCAAATTATGTTTATCAGGTTATAGACAGCTTCATACTCTATTGATGACATTTTTACTGACTAGCATGAGAACTCATTCATTTTTTCCCCTTAGCTCAATGTATTCAAGATATTTTCTTCATAGAATAAAATTTAAAGCTTTTAAAAAAATAACTGTAAGGGCAGAATTTCTACAGTAGCATTAAATTCTGCCATTCCTTTGGAGAAATACAGGCTAATTATTTTTCATAGATTGTAAATGCTAGCAATTAGGTGAAGATGAGACACTTAGATATTTATTTTTTACTTAAAATTTACTCTTGAGAGTAATATGACACCGTAAGATCATAAAACACAAATATCAGACCCTTTCCGGGATTTGAAATGTAAATAAGAATTTTATCTGTAAATCACTTCTCTGTAATATATCTTAATGAGTTTCCTGGGTTTTTAAATGAGATTAAGAAAGTTAACTGGATTATGGAGAAATGCAATCATATCTCCCGACTGGTTTTGACCTGATTGCTTCCTAAATACTTCCCAATACCTTAATGTACTCACAAAGAAGAAGCATAATCCATAAAATGAAAAATATATAAAATATATCATTTTATTTCACCATTTTTGCCATGTAGTTAAAATAACTCAATCAACCTATTAATCAAATTTCAAGCCATAATTTCAACTCTTAAAATGTAATTAATAACTCCCCATAAACAAAAAAAAATCAGCATTTACTAAAATAAGTTCAGTGGGTCAAAGATAAAATAAATAGTACACATTTTAAAACATCCTATAGAAATCAAAACCCAAAAAATACAAATGCACCAAAATAATAAAGGCCCAAAAGATCAGTGACACTTACTAGAACACCAGCAGCAATGGAAGCAATAGTATTACGCTTTTCCCCCCAGTCAACGCACTCTGAGCATCTCAAGCCTTCTAGAAATCCAGACATTTTTTCGGGTCACTTAAAAACAAAACAAACAAATAACTAAATAAAGTACTTCCAAATACTTATTTCAAATCTGACTTACGTTCCTGGAAAATAATTAATAGTTTAGGAATAATTTAATAAAAGCACAGTTACAAATGCTTTATTTTGGCTCCACATACTTCTCCACATATGGTAGCTGGGATTACAGACATGCACCACTGTATCTGGCTAATTTTTTCTATATATTTTTAGTTGGCCAATTAATTTTTTTCTATTTTTAGTAGAGACAGGGTCTGGCTATTGCTTAGGCTGGTTTCGAACTCCTGACTTCGAGTGATCTGCCAGCCTCAGCCTCCCAGAGTGCTAGGATTACAAGTGTGAGCCACCTCACCCAGCCTTAAGTGATATTTTTAATATCAAGTATTTAATGATTATCAATCCACAAGAGCTCTTCTGCATCATTTTAATCCCAAACTAAACTATTAAGACGATTTCGATATTTACAGTTCTGGAGCACTAACAGTGGAGACACAAATGATAAACTTTGGCTCTGTGTTAAAGTATGGATTCAGATGAAAAAAATTTCTCTAGGGAATTTACATATTTTATTACAGAACGTGTGCTTCTTCACACCTAGATTAAGAAATTAAATACTGCACTGCAGGTTTTACCACCACCCACGTCACTTCCTTTCACTTCATTATTTTTCCTTCTCCGAGCAAGTTTTTTGGTTTCATTTCTATTAATGCGTGAAAGAACGCTGCCTTTACTTTGATATCTCGATCTCTGATTCTAACAGATGTTTCCAGACAAAAGAATGCATACAATTGTGGTTAATATTAATTCAAACAACAAAAACCTCACTGATACTTTAAATTATCATACCCGACCTAAATTGTCTTAACAAATAACATGAAATATTCCTCTAAGCAGAGCTGTACAGATCTGGCCTGAAAGATATCCACATTATCTCTATTTCAGAGTATGCAAAAGCCCAAATTACATATAACTTGCTAAAAAAATCAAGAAACGCCCAAACTCCTACAGCGAACCTGAGTCTGTCCATTAAAGTGCTCCGTAGTTTATGGCTGTCCCAAAACATGACACCCTAAAAAAGAGCACCGATCTCAACTTTTAACTTCTCTTTTAAAAAATTAATATGAAAAGCTATGATTACAGTCAGTGCTAATATGCCTTTGGGACAAGTTCAATTTTTGAAAATTCACTCATTTTATTCTTCCCTGGGAGAATGAGCAATCCAGTAAGTGCTATTTTCGGTTCATCCCCAACGGCCCCGCCCCGAATCCATTTTTTCTATGCATGACTACGCCCTCCAGACTGTGGGAATTTTGGGTCTAGAGCATGGCCTGGGAAGATCTGGGAACTAACTCGGCCACCTCCCTCGCTGTGTGAACCAGCCGGTTACACTCCCTCTCGGAATCTGTTTGTCCAGCTCCAAAGCAGCGGGACAGGATTTTCGGAGATCCTGGGGAGAACACGGGCCCTCTCCTCCCCACCCGTGTCGCAGCCTGGCGGGGTCTGGACGCGGTCGCCCCCTCCGCCGCTGCCGGACACAGGACAGGAGGAAGTGGCAGGAAGGGTCCAGTGAGGCACAGCCCGCGTCCGCGGCTTCCCTGAGGTAAGCAACGACCCTGTCAGCACGAGCCGGTCAGAAAGTCCCCGGTCCGAGCCCTAGCCAGCCTGCGGTCGTTCCTTCCCTGCCCTCACTACCCGCCTGGCACTTACGTCCAGCCCCGCCCGCGCAGTCGGTCCGGAGCCCGGTGTCGCGCCGCACCGGGCCGTCTCACTTTTCCCCAGTTTCGGCAAGGAAAACAAAACAGCCAGAGGCCTCCAGACGCCCGGATGTTGCAGCACCGCCCCCGGGGCTCTGTCGCGCATGCGGGGATGGGGCGGAGGGCGGGGCGGAGGGAGACCGGGCTGTGGAGGACCCAAAGGGAGCCCCGCCCACCGCACCAACGAGTCTGCGCGTGCCCCCGGGGCGCAGGCCGCGAGGGCTTTCTGCAGCTCTGGGCTCGCACCTGCAGAAGTGCTGGTTTGAGTACGCCCTGCATGGGTAGGTGTGAGAAGCTAGGTCTCCGTCCTAAGCGTTCGAAAGGAAGGCCTTTGTACCCGTCTTGCGTGAGGCGGTAAGTCTTCTAGTGCTGCGGTCTGTCCTGCAGCTGTGTCAGGTGTGGGTGGCAGGAAAGTGCCGGGTCCCACGTGGTGCGAAAGGTGGGTCTGGCTGGCGGCCTCACGGCGCTGCTCGGGCCTCTCCTGTCCAGTTTGTTTTCGCGGTGCCGGGCCCCGCCCGCCCCGGCTCCGCCTCCCCGAGAGAGGCGGGGACTTTCTGGTTCGGCCTGGCGGGAGGTGGGAGTCCTGTGCGTCCCCATCCCAGCCTGGTGACCCACTTCTAGGACTTGACCTTTCTCTGCCTTTCGTTTTGAGGCAGGTTTCTCCGCCTCGGCACTCGTGACATTTTGAGCCCGCTAATTGTGTTTATCCGGGCTGTCCTGTGCATCCTGGGACTTCGTCTGCGTCGCTGGCCTCTACCCGCTGCATGCAAATAGCACCCCACTCGTGACCAGCCGAAAATGTCTCCAGACTTTGCCCAATATCCCCTGCCGGGGAAAATCGCCCCGCTTAAGGACCGCTGTTTAAAGGTTAGCCTGAGTTTTCGGGAAATGTCCCTCTTCCAAGAGAAGGAAGGTACGAAGCCGGAAGCAGCGATGTCTTAGCTACGTGAACGCCTTGCGGCCGGGCTCGCCCCTCGTCCAGAAGCCGTCAGACTGGTCCCGCGTCTCGCGTTGTCCGGAGTCGGAGCCGGCCGGTGACAAGGAGCAGGTCAAGGAAGGTCGCATTCCAGAAAGCGCCGCCTGGAGGACGTACAGGTGCACTCGCGTAGCCGGTCGGGGTCTTGCAGCCCGCAAGAGAGAAAGGGCTTTGGGCCTCCGGGAGATGTGACCGGTTTCCTCGGTACCTATCCTGTAGCAGGTCTTGCTGTAGGGGAAGGTCGTGTACAGAAGGGCCTACGCGATCCGCAGGGCAGCGCTACTAAGGCTTTCACCCTATGGTGTACCGCAAAGAACACAGCAAGTGGAGGGAGAGATGCAGGAAGAGATCGCAGGCAGAACCCCGTTTCACTTAAGTGGAAAAGGTGAGTCATTTGTCGTTAAGAGAGGCACACAGGCTCATCATATTTATATGTATGGCAACAGTATATGAGTAGGATAGGGAATTAAGGTGATTGTGTTGTGTCCTTTGATACATAAAATCTATGTAGCTTTGGGTTTTTTAGAGGGCGTTAGCCAATTAGTAGATAAAAGTATACAATACATTTAGTTTTATCCAAAGGCCATTTTTAAATGGACATCATTCTTATCCTCAGGATTAAAGATTAATTGTGACTGTTTAATGTCTCAGGGTGGAGGAATCTAGTGCAGGCAATTCTTGATGAAACTTTTCTTTTTTTGAGACAGCACCTGGCTCTGTTGCCTTGAGTAGAGTGCAGTGGCATCGTTCATAGCTCACTGCACCCTCAAACTCCTGGGCTCAAGGGATCCTCCTGCCTCAGCCTCTCAAGTAACTGAGACTACAGGCATGCCCCACCACACCCACCTAATTTTTCTATTTTTAGTAGAGACAGGGTCTCTTGCTCAGGCTGGTCTCAAGCTCCTAAGCTCAAGCAATCCTCCCACCTCCGCCTCCCAGAATAATGAAACCTTTTAAATGTCTATTAATGACTAACATTAGTTTACCAGCTCTGAGCAGCATTAAACAAACCTTGATTTCAGCTTCCAATAAGATAACTAATGACTGCGGGAGGAAAGGTATTAAAGGGTAGACCCTTTTTTAGTTTTCCTGGCCTTAAGATGATTGTCAATATTTTATAATATGATTGCACATCTTAACATTACTATTACGATAAGGTACATGCTTAATTTGTCATTCTTAGCCTTTTTGGGATATGCTATAGAATTAATGAGTGTTTGTGTTTGTCTTTTGTAGGTAGAATGGAGCTGATAGAAATAGCAAAAGCCAACGCAGCTAAATCGTTAGGAAGAGCGAACCTTGACTTGCCAGCTAGTCTCAGAACTGTTCCTATAGCTAAAGAAACAAACTGTGGAACAGCTGTACCAAATGCTGCAAAGTTTGAGGTAAGTATTCCAGGTATATCCAAGCAAAACCTTCAGAACTACTCTTGCAAAGATCTGCTTAGCCATTTAACCAGAAAGATCTAATTTGATTTAACTTAGTCTATACTTCTCAGAAAGGCTTTAAATATAATTTGCTAAAGTCAAAATAGCAGATCTGAATAGTAGACAAGCTTTCACCCATGAAAGTGGGAGAGTAATGGACTTTATTTTTGGTGAGCAACCATTCTAGATTGCCAGGGACTGACCCTGAAAGTTCTGTATTCCGGGAAACTCCTTTGGGTCACAAAAAATCCTGATTTATAGCAATGAGTATGGAAGGTTAGGGCTGGAGGACATGCAAAACACATATTGTTCTTCTCCAACCACCCCCCAAAAAAGGTGGCTGAAGACAACACTGTTTTTAGTGACAAATGAATATGGCAATTGTCTGTCTTCTGTTGACTGCTGAATTGGCAACCGCTACTTGTGGTTCACAATAATGGATCATCCATTGTTGCATTCTCTCAGAGCAGCGTAAGTTCTGAAATATGTACAATTTAAGTTCTAATCTTGAGTGTTAGCAGTCTAGTTAACTGTTGTACTTTGTATAGAGAAAATGCTAGTTTCATTTTTAACTTTGTGAATTATCGTGACTATGTTTTCTAAGAGTTCAGATAACGAAACTGATAATGAATACAATACCTGCGCCAGCATGACCCAGACATTACCGAAAAAGAAGGCTAAACGGCTATGTTATTTTAATGACAGATGGAAGGACACCTACAATTGGATTAGGGAGGTAAATAACCCAAACAGAGCATACTGCACAATATGCAGAAAAGAATTTGGGGTTGGGCATGGCGGAGAAGGGGATGTGAAAAAACACATGGAGACTGAATCTCACAAGTCTGGGATGAGACAAGCAAGTCTTGAATCAATTCAAAGTGTTTTCATTTCCCAAAAAGACATCAGTGTTCAATCGAAAATAGCAGCTGCTGAATTAGCTTGGGCATACCACACAAATGAACATGCATTATCCTATCGTTCCCTTGATTGCTCTATGAAACTGAGTAAAGTTACATTTCCTGATTCAGAGGTTGCAACTAAAATGTCCTGTGGACGCACAAAAGGGGAAATTTTGATAACAGATGTGTTGGCCCCCTACAGTGTAGAGCTGATTTTGTCAGATCTTACGAACGATCATGGTTTCTACAGTATATCAAGTAATGTGTTGAATCATGGCAATAAAAAAGTGTTCCCCTTAGCTCTTAGGTACTTTGATTTGAAAAATGGAGTTTCCAATCGTCTTCTTGATTTCTATGAAGATTTTAATGAAACCTCAGAAAACATAAAACAAAAGATTGTTGATATCTTGTCCAAATACAAACTAGACTTTTCTCACCTATCTGCATATTCAGCAGATAGTGCAGATGTAAATTACAACAAATTCCATTCAGTCTATAAACTTCTTACCAAAGAAAATGAAAAGATCTTACCTGCTGAATGTCCAGCACACCTTGTACACAAGACAGCTAAAAAGGGGTGTGATTTGCTTTCCTATGATATTGAGGCTTTCATAATGAAAGCTCTTGGTTACTTTTCCGTTTCCTCAAAACATGCAGAAGCACTTAATGAGATTTTTGACTTTGTAGAAATGGAAGGAGACAGACTCCTTAGACATGTGCCTACAAGATGGCTGTCATTGTTGCCAGCCATAGAGAAGATGTTAAACTGTTGGCCTGCTGTGAAGTCCTATTTTCAAAATATGGGAAAAGAAGAATGTCCTTCTCTAATTTGGAAATACATTGAGGATGAGAACGAAGAAAAGGATTACAGTACAACAGAAATATATATGCTTTTTATCCAGAATTGTTTGATGATCTTTGAAGAAGCTGTAAGGAGCCTAGAAAAGGATAAACTGACTGCACCTGAGTTATTTGATGTTATGAGTAAGTTACGACAAAAGCTGACACAGCGAAGAAATGAATCATTTTTTGGGAAGAAGACTGCTTTGGAACTCAAAAAAATGTCACCAGAAAAGGGCAACCAAGTTAAACAGGACTTTCTCAATTTCTTTACTAGAACTATCACTTTTTTGGAATCCAATTTTGATTTTACAAGTTCAAATTACCTCTGTGCTTTAAAGCCATTTTCCCTGAGAAAGAGAGGTTTAACCTACGATGACATTCAATGTGCTTCCGAATGTTTAAAAATGATGGATGTTTTAGAGATGGATAGCCTCTATGATGAGTTTACAGATGCAAAGGACCTGATCGACAAACAGCTGGTGTACCAAAACAAGCCTGTAGATAAAAAATGGATGGACATTTTTGGAGAGCTGGAAACAAATTCCTACAAGACTAAAAACCTGCTGTTGCTAGTAAGCAAAATCCTAAGTATTCCATGCTCAAATGTTTTTGTTGAGAGGATATTTAGATTGATGTCATCACAATGGACTGACACCAGGAGTCAGTGTAATGTGGGCTTGATAAGAGCACAGCTGCAAGTCAAAGAGAATTTTACATTTGACTGTATTCAGTTTTACCACTACATAAAAGAAAAGAAGGATGTCCTAAAGGCTGCAGGAAGTTCAGAGAAGTACTATTGGAAAAGGAAACAAAAAGAGTAAAAATATCCTACTGTATTATGAGAAAAAAGAAACATGCCCTTGTTTCTTTTTATCAAATGCAATATCTGTTTTGTTAATCTTATTGTATTTCTGTTCTCCTTTAAAAAGTCTTATTTTTTGTATCTTAATACAGAACAATATAACCTACAAAATTTAAATATTCAATAAAATTTTAAAAGTTAACTGCTGTATCAAGACAGAAATACATACAATTGTTATGTACTTCTTATACATTATTTGTTTATTTAGTTCTGTTATTACTAGTTGACACTTTTAACTAGTCCTGTTTACATAATTGCATATATGTAACTGAAAGAATAATACAAACTATATATTTTCAAGTAAACAGCTATATTTTATATTTTTATGTTAAAATAACATATGTATAATTATTATATTATGGTGTGTGTGTGTTTGTTTTGGCTTTGTCCCAGATTGAGAGTCCCAGATTGTCTCCCTATAGTCAGTTCTTGTATCCTTCTTAACTCTCAAATTTTGGTCCTGTTTTAAGTGAATTCTCTTTGTTTCAATCCTCCCAGCCCCAATACAAATTATCCTTGGCTAAAGAGAATACCAAATAATTACTTTTGGCCAAGGTGATAAAGAAGGCTGCCTATGAGTTTTTAAAAATTTTTTTAATAATTTTATTTTTCTTTTGTCTCATTTTTTTTCTGCTTACGTATATGAGATGACTTCTATGAGTTTTTAATTGATAGATTGGTTCTCTTTCATTCAAATAATGCTCATAATTTAAAAGTCCTGGAAAAATACATTCACAATCATATTTTAAATATGCAATTACATTTATGTTAGTGAAAACTTGGTAGTTTGATAGCTTGTTCATTTTTAAAATTTTTAAGTATTATGTAAAACCTTGGTCTACCAGAATTTTAAAAGAAAATAATACTTCAGCAAAACAAGATTCCCCCATAATAATAACCATACATACATACAGCCATCTTCAGTAATTAAATTGTGTTTATGCTTTTCTAAGCAGTGGAGTTGATTTTAACCAATTCCTATTAAGAACTGCATAAGACATCTGGGGGATGGTCATGCTGGAAACTCAGACTTGTGGGGGGAGGGGGGAAAGGGCATTTATTGAAACCTTAAAATCTGTACCCCCATAATATGCTGAAATAAAAAATAATTAATTAATTAAAAAAAAAAACTGCATAAGAGGCCAGGCGTGGTGGCTCACGCCTGTAATCTGGGAGGCTGAGGCGGGAGGATCACTCAAGGTCAGGAGTTCCAAACCAGCCTGAGCAAAAACGAGACCCTGTCTCTACTAAAAAAGAATAGAAATTAATTGGCCAACTAAAAATATATAGAAAAAATTAGCCGGGCATGGTGGTGCATGCCTGTAGTCTCAGCTACTTGGGAGGCTGAGGCAGAAGGATCCCTTGAGTCCAGGAGTTTGAGGTTGCTGTGAGCTAGGCTAATGCCACGGCACTCTAGCCCGGGGAACAGAGTGAGACTGTGTCTCAAAAAATAAAATAAAAAAAGAACTGCATATGAAAACTGCTTATTCATTTTCCACATCCTGTTTGGCAAAGTGTGACACATAGCAATAGAAAATAAAAATATAATCCTGGGATGCATTTGCAACTCATGTACAGAACTGAGGCATCAGCTTTCAGAATAACTTTTTAACACTGCCACATGCTGTCCGTCTGTGTGTCCTGCAGTCCGGTGAATATAAGGTTCTCCCCTTGGTCTCGGTGGAAATCTGAATCACAAGCACTACCAGGTTCACAAAGGTGTTAATTCTTCAAAGGAGCGAATGCTATTCAAAAAGGGAAGTATAAAAACCTTAAGAATCTAATAGTACATTCTAATTAATATTCCATGAAGCACATAATTATAGTTGTGTCAAAGTAGTCTCTATGAGCACACTGTTACCTGTTAAAAAAGCAGAAGCCCTACCCAGAAAGATTTTATATGTAATGTATAAAACTTATTAATATGTTTGAATTTTTTTACTTTACAAATTTCATAAAAATTATCTTTTTACCGGTGTTTATTTTATGTGATGCTACGTAGGACCAAGTTCTCTAAAAGACCTGGTTTAAATAAAAGTATATCTGCCTCTTCTAAAAACAGTGTAACATCCAGATGCCTGTGATATACTTCAAGGTAGGAATTGCATGTAATTTAGCTTTGTTTCTCCTGTAACTGGTAAAAGAGGAGATACTGAGAAAATGAAATGCTTTGAATGAATAATGAATGGAATCAGGCATATTCAAAATCTTAGAAATTTCTAGAGAATGAATACAAGATCCTTAAGCTATCATTTACTTCTAGTTTCCCCCTTTTCTGAAAATAAGATGGACAGATTCAAAACTAGTTGTCAGTTTTACATCCTCCTTTTATATTCAGCAACATCATCATCAAGAGAAATAAAGGCACTAAAATAAAATCTTTGTTGGCTGGGCCTGGTGGCTCATGCTTGTAATCCTAGCAATCTGGGAGGCCAAGGTGGGAGGATTGCTTGAGCTCAAGAGTTTGAGACCAGTCTCAGAAAGAGCAAGACCCTGTCTCTACTAAAAATAGAAAAAATTAGCTGGGATGGTGGTGCATGCCTGTAGTCCCAGCTACTTGGGAGGCTGAGGCAGGAGGATCACTTGAGCCCAGGAGTTTGAAGTTGCTATGAGCTAGGCTGACAGCACTGTACTCTAGCCTGGGCAACAGAGCAGAGACTATCTCAGAATAACAAAAGAAGAATAACCGTTAATAGCAATGAAGAAACATTGCAGAACTTCTAAATGAACAGATAGGAGGGAGGGGAAAAGAGATGCTTAATCAATCTGGCAAAATAAAATGGGAAAAAGTGAAAAAAGGAAAGTTATAATAGACACCGGCCGGGCGGTGGCTCACGCCTGTAATCCTAGCACTCTGGGAGGCGAGCGGGCGATTGCTCAAGGTCAGGAGTTCAAAACCAGCCTGAGCGAGACCCCGTCCTACCATAAAAATAGAAAGAAATTAATTGGCCATAATATTATATAATATAAAATCAGGCGAGCATGGTGCGCATGCCTGTAGTCCAGCTACTCGGGAGGCTGAGACAGGAGGATCGCTTGAGCCAGGAGTTTGAGGTTGCTGTGAGCTAAGCTGACGCCACGGCACTCACTCTAGCCTAGGCAAGAAAGTGAGACTCTTGTCTCAAAAAAAAAAAAAAAAAAAAATCTTTAAAAAAATAATAGACACCAAGGAAGGGATAAGGTCAACAATACAGTTATTCCAATAAATGTAAAAGAGTTGAATTTACCTACCAAAGGAAAAAAAACTTCATATTGGGTGTGAATACTCAGATGTTGTTTACCTGTTGAAACAAAGTGAACATATAACAATAAAAATGTCATTAAGATATTTCTGGCCAGGTGTGGTGGCTCATGCCTGTAATCCTAGCACTCTGGGAGGCCGAGGTGGGAGGATCGCTCTAGGTCAAGAGTTTGAAACCAGCCTGAGCGAGACCCCGTCTCTATTAAAAATAGAAAGAAATTAATTGGCCAACTAAAAATATATAGAAAAAATTAGCTGGGCGTGGTGGTGCATGCCTGTAGGCCCAGTACTCAGGAGGCTGAGGCAGGAGGATCGCTTGAGCCCAGGAGTTTGAGGTTGCTGTGAGTTAGGCTGACACCACGGCACTCTAGCCCGGGCAACAAAGTGAGACTCTGTCTCAAAAAAAAAAGATATTTCTGAATATACCTAACAAGATATGTGCAGGATGTATTTGAAAAAAGTTACAAAATTTTAGTGAAAGTATTAGTTTCCTATTGTTGCGTAACAACCCCAACCTTAAGTGGCTTAAAGCAACCCAAAATGATTATCTTATAGTTCTGTAGTTGAGAAGTCTCACTGGGTTAAACTTAAGGTGTCAGCAGAGCTTTGTTCCGTTTTGGATGCCCTAGGGGAGAATCTTCAATGCTTGTTCATTCAGGTGTTGGTAGAATTCAGTTCTATAACATTCCTAGAGGCCTCTCTCCCTCCTTGCACACAGCTCCCTGCATTTCATAAGCAGCAATTCTTTTTCTTTTTTTTGAGACACAATCTCACTCTTGTCCGGGCTAGAGTGCTGTGGCATCAGCCTAGCTCATAGCAACCTCAAACTCCTGGGCTCAAGCAATCCTTCTTCCTCAGCCTCCCTAATAGCTGGGACAACAGGCATGCGCCACCATGCCCGGCTAATTTTTTCTATGTATTTTCAGTTGGCCAATTAATTTCTTTCTATTTTTAGAAGAGACAGGATCTCTGCTCTTGCTCAGGCTGATTTCGAACTCCTGACCTTGAGTGATCGTCCCGCCTTGGCCTCCCAGAGTGCTAGGATTACAGGCGTGAGCCACCACATCCAGCCATGGAAGCAGCAATTCTGAATTGAATGGAATTCTTCTCATGCTTTGATTCTCTCCTGTGATTAGATTCAGGATAACCTCATCTTCTAAGGTCGTTAATCTTAATTACATCTGCAAAATTCTTTTTGCCACATTAAGGTAACATATTCATAGGTTCCAGGAAATTAGTGACCTAAAGGATATCTTTAGGGGGCCATTAGTCTGTTTATCACAGTGAAGAATATAAACAAACTTGAATAGTACATTTAAAATTTAAGTGTCATTCTTAGATGGGGAGATTTGCAATTATAAAGATGACACTTCTGCCTAAATTATCCTACAAATTCAGTGCTAGATATTCTAATGATAATTGAAGTTCAATTTTTCCATCGAGTGGATAAATGCTCAGAGAAGATCATATTGGTTAGAGAAATAAAGGAACAAAACATCCCTTGCAGACTTTAACTCAGGTAGACTGTGTAAGCTCTTGAGACAAATACACCAGCATTCTGCACAAGGGCATAGTAATGTTGCCCACTGTTTCCAATAATCTATTAACATCCAGGATTTTTCTGACAACCATTTTTAGGCACACATTGACTGATACTATGAACCGTCTACAGAGATTCCTACCACTCTTTATTCCTAACCAAGAACTTAAGACTCCATTGCAAGCATTGTTTCACTTTATTTCCCCAACACATCATTTTACACTTGTCCAATGTGAAACTCGCTATTTTCTGTCTACTCACACAGTTTAATGAGAACTTTCAGCAAAAGTTCCTGGTAGATGGGCACTGTATCTTATATTTCTTAAGATATTTTAAGATGTTTTAAGATGTTTCTTAAGAAGTTTTAAAAAAGAAACACTTTTCCACTTAAGAACTACTTCCATTACGATGCGTTCTCACTACATATGGATGATACTGCGGACAGTGAACGAGTATGACAGATCATGTGGGTGAGCGCAGATGTTTAATGATTTTATTCCCTTTATTTTTGTGCAAGTTTGGAGATGTAAGGTGAAGATGACTGGAGATGAGTTAGTCTGTGTCTCCCTCTAAAGAAAAGTGGCTTTTGTAAAAATGCTCTTGCAAAGAAGTGCATTTAATGACTAACTTTCCTTACATAAGTGGTTAGTTCATTCAATAAAAAATTAACCCACAATTTTCAAAGCAATTGTCATGCTTTATTACAATATCAAGTGTTTGGAACAGTACCCTGTAAATCCCCAGAAATAAAAGTCACCTTTGTTTAATCTCCTACCCAAGCACACTCGTCTCTGGAACAGATATCTCAGACATCATTCATACCTCCTAAAGGTCAGCTATGCATTTCTTTGCATTTTGTCTCTACCTTAATTACCTTTACTAGCCAAAACAAGGAAGTAAAAAAATCATTTCTAAGTTAATATTGCATTTTCAGAGATCCTGGGATGTCCTGGAGGAGGGGCACGGCCCCCTCCCTTCCCCACTAGTCCCGCAGCCTGGCGGGGTCTGGACGCGGTCGTCCACTCCCGCCGCTGCCAGACAGGACAGGAGTAACTGGCAGGAAGGGTCCAGTGAGGCACTGCCGAGTCCGCGGCTCCCAGGAGGAGGGAGTCCCGGGTCCGAGCTCCAGCCAATAACCGCTTGGCACTTATGCCTGCATCCGCTCGTGCAGTCGGTGTTGCGCCGCGCGAGACAGTCTAGAAAGTTTTCTGATAACCGCGTGTGTCCCACTCTTCTCTCAGAGCAGGAAAAAACAGCCCCGGCCCTGTGTGACACCCGGATGTAGCAGCGGTGTCCCCGCCTGCCCCACCCAAGGGCCCTGTCGCGCTTGCGCACCCAGAGGCGTTGGCGCCAGGCTGGGGGCGGGGCTAGGGAGGGAGGAGGCAGGGCAGTGATTGGGCGAGATGAGGGCCACGCCCACCGCGCCAACGTATCTGCGCATGCGCTGGGCGGAATCTTCTGGTACTTTCGACGCGTCTGCAGACTGTGCAGTCAGTTCGCGTCAGGACGTCTGAGGTGGGGGTCGTTGGTCTACTCTCTGAGAATATAAACGAAAAACCTCTCTTCGTCCTAAGCTTTGAGAGGAAGGCGTCCGTTGGGCCTTTCTCTCCGTCTTGAGCGAGGCGTGGACGGCCTGCGGTGAGTTTTCTGGTGGACGGGGTCGGTTCCAAAGTTCTCTCAGAAGCTAGGAGCAGGAAAAGCGCCGGGCCCCGCGTGGCGGGAAGGCGGCGTTTCGGGGCGGCTGCGCGGCCGCAGGGCTCTGAGCGGGATTTCGGGCGCTGGGTTCCCTTGGGTCTGCGCCGCGGCTCCGCCTCCGGGAGGCGCCCCGCCTAGTGCCCACTTCCGGGGCCTGACGGGCTTTTTTCTCTCTCCGTTTTTAGCCAGTCTCGGGAAGTTGTTTCTTTCTGGAGAACACGAAAGCTAAAGCCTCAGGTGAAGATGTCCAACTACGTGAACGACATGTGGCCGGGCTCGCCGCAGCATTCTCCCTCGATGTGTGGCTCGGGCGATTCGAGCCGGCTGTCGTCGCGGTCGAGGAGCCGCTCTTCCGGAAGCTCTCGGCCCTATTCCCGCGTCTCCAGTCGGTCGTCGTCCAGGAGTCGGAACCGGCCCCGGAGGAGGAGCAGGTCCAGGTCTCGTTCCCAAAGGCGCCACCAGCGGAAGTACAGGCGCTACTCGAGGTCTTACTCGCGGAGCCGGTCGCGATCCCGGAGCCGCCGGTACCGAGAGCGGCGCTATGGGCCGTCCCGGAGATACTACCGGTCTCCTTCGCGGTGCCGGTCCCGGAGCCGGTCGCGCTCTCGAGGAAGGTCGTACTACAGAAGCTCCTGCGCGCTCACGCGGGGGCGGCGCTACTACGGCTTTGGGCGCACGGTGTCCCCGGAGGAATACAGGTGGAAGGAGAGATCCAGGACGAGGTCTCGGAGCAGAACCCCTTTCCGCTTAAGTGAAAAAGGTGGGTCTCTTGTTAATATGCAGACGCATAGTTCCCTTTGTCACCATTTTGTACGTGTGGTGACACTATGAGTAGGCCAGGGAAGCAAAGCTGCTTTGTAGTTTTAACATTCTTTTTTTGGTGGCAGAAATCTGTCTTGTTGGGGGTGGAAAGGAGGACATCTGTCTGCTGGTAGTTAAAACTACAGTATGATCGGTGGCTGGTCTGTAAGTGTACAACGTTCTTTCTCTTTAGGATTAAAGGATTATGGGTGTTAAATGGCTTAGGGTGGAGAAGACCTTTTCTAATGGCTGACTGTTCTTAGTGGAGCCTTTTTTTTTTTTTTTAGTTGTATTGCTGAACAGAATTGTTCAGTATTTCAACACATGACGTGCCATGTAAGTTGTGTTCTTTTTGAGACAGAGTCTCCGCACTGTTGTCTGGGTCGTCTGGGCTAGAGTGCTCTGCATCAGCCTAGCTCGCAGTGACCTCAAACTCCTGGGCTCAAGTGATCCTCCTGCCTGCCTCAGCCTGCCAAGTAGCTGGGACTACAGGCATGCCGCCACCGTGTACAGCTGATTTCTTTCTATTTTTAATCCGAGGCGCCCCCCCCCCCCCACGTTGACGGTGCCTGGTGGCCCGAGGTGAAGCGATTAGTCTTTTTTTTTTTTTTTTTTTGTTTGTTTGAGACAGAGTCTCACTTTGCTGCCCAGGCTAGAGTGAGTGCCGTGGGGTCAGCCTAGCTCACAGCAACCTCAGTCTATCTATTTATAGTAGAGATGGTGTCTCGCTGTTGCTCAGGCTGGTTTCAAACTCCTGACCTTAAGCGATCCGCCCACCTTGCCTCCAGAAGTGCTAGGATTACAGGCTTGAGCCACCACGCCCAGCCTAACTCACGTCTCTTAACTCTGCGATCTGCGAGAACTATTTTTCCCGTTGCATATAACTCACGGGCAGAAAACAATAAAAAATCACATAGCCAGGCTTGGTGTTTCACGCTTGTAATCCTGGCACTCTGAGGCCAAGGTGGGAGCACTGCTTGAGGTCAGGAGTTCAAGGCCAGTCTGAGCAAGAGAACGGTCTCTACTGAAAATAGAAAATAAATTCTATTAGAATAATAAAATTTTCATTAAATTAGAAAAGATTTATGTCTTTTAAGTTTTTATTCTATTTTTGTAATAAAACACGTGGCTCCAAGGAGAAAAAAGGTTTTTACCTAGTGGCAAGTCAGTGTGTTAAAACGATTTAATGTTATACTGGAGAGGTGATCATGGAATAGAAAAAAAGGACAGTATGTTTGGAAAATGTAAGTTCTGCAGACATCCTTCAGTATATGTGGGAAATCAGTTCCAGGACCCCTGCAGTCACCAAAATCTCTGTGCCCAGGCACAGTACTAGCAGTCAGCATTGCAACATCCTATATTGTGGGGTTTCCCATCCCTCCAGTACTGAAGGATATTTGATCTGCTTTGGTTGGGGGGGAGATCCACAAATAAGTGGACCACTGCAGTTCAAACTTGTGTTTTTCAAGGGTCCACCGTACTTTATGTATGAAAATAAAGCAAATGACTTAGACATACTTGTTTTACTTAAAACAGTGACCTAAAAACTTATTTTGTGGTTTTGAGTCCTCTTGGGAAAATACTACAGGATTAATGAGTATCTTTTTTTTCCAGATCGGATGGAGCTGTTAGAAATAGCAAAAGCCAATGCAGCAAAAGCTTTAGGAACAACCAACATTGATTTGCCACCTAGTCTCAGAACTGTAGCTGTAACTAAAGAAAGAAACCGTGGAACAGCTGTACCAAATTCTGGTGCTAAGTTGGAGGTAAGTATTCTCGGTTTATCCGGACAAAATCTTTAGAAAGCTATTGCCAGAAAGATCCAATTAGCCATTTAACTGCCTTAGACCATACTTCTTGGGAAGGTTAGCTGTGTATAATTTGCTAAAAATCAAAAGATCAGATTGACAATCCTAGAGAAGGTCACACCCATGAAAATGGAAGATTAATGAACTTGATTTTCAGTTGATGCTGTACTCTTTCATAACCGTTAATAAATATTGTAGCTGGTACTTTGGTGATTTCTATATCAAATTCTATCTCTAGTCTTTACAGAGTGTTGAGCTTTCTTTGCAGCATTATGTTCCCACAGATTCTGTACTCAGCATACAGTATAGTTTATCTGCTTTATTTCTGTCTTATAGAAATCATGAATGTGGTCTCCAGACATTGATGAAGAAAATCTGTTGGTAATTGATACATGGGCTAAAGCATTTGAAGTTTACATTCACATACTGAAAGCTTAGTTTTTTGTTGTTAGATCTATGTGCATGCTAGAATTTGGGACAGGTACTATTTGTATAAGGTACTGAAAACAATTTTTAACTAAGCAAGGGTACACTTTGTAATGGTGGGGCATCTGTGATATAGATGTCCCTTTCATAATATATGCGATATATTCCAGATGTTTTGAGAGATTACAGAAGAGGAGGCCTGCTTCACTTGCAGATAAGTTTATTATAATTCTCCAGAAATGTGCAGGATGTGCATTGGCAAATCGCACTGTACTTTTAATTGTGTGAAATCTAAAGCTTAAAATTCATAGTTTTGAAAGTTTGAAGTTGTTAGGAATTGACAAAAATTAGCACAGTAAAGATTATCAGTCCTATCTAAATGCTGTGGTCCCCAACTCCTGGGCTGCACAGCAGGAGGTGAGTGGCAAGTGAGCCTTCAATTGTAAACCAGCTTTCTTTATTGACAGCTGCTCCCCATCCCCCACATCCTGTCTGTGGAAAAATTTTCTTCCATGAAATTAGTCCCTGGTGCCAAAAAGGTTGGGGACCGCTATAAATGAACCTGTCATTGGGACCTAGTTGTATGTTGTATTAGTAGACAAATAAGATCTTAGTTTGAGTTGTTTAGACTATTAGATGTCCAGCTGGCAAATAGCTTAATTCTTTGAAACTAGGTATTTTCTGGTAAGACTTGACTTTCAATAGTTACTTGGATTTGCAGCAGGGGAATAAAATAATTATGGGAATAGTGTCTTAAACCTATTATTATTAAATCAGTTTTGTTAAGGGGAAAACTTGAGTTCTGTGTTAAGCTGTTAGCTGTATGGTTAGATGGAATTTGATTTGTGTCTACTAAATTTATATATAGTTGAGCTGTTTTTAATATGGTACTTGTAAGCCAAGGATATGTTTTTTAAAGTTATACTTTCTTTTACCTGTCTAGCTGTCAGAACTGTCAGAAGAGCTAACAGAAGATGGAACTAAAAATTCCAGTGGAAAATCTTCCCAGCAAAGAAGCATAGCTTTTAGCTCTAACGTAAGTATATCCAAGTACTGACCACTCAAATTGGGTTTAGAATGTATGTGTTTGGGAAGCTGACTTTAATTTGTTCTCTTACAGAATTCTGTAGCAAAACCAATACAGAAATCAGCTAAAGCTGCTGCTGAAGAGACAACTTTAGGGTCACCAAAAATAACTCAGAAAAAAAGTCCATATGGACTGTGGAGACCTGTGTAGAAGAAGAAAACTAATGGCTAAGTTTGCATGAACCTGCACTTTATTTCAAATTTGTGTTTCTAGCATTATCCCATTCCTTTGAGGCATTTAGGGGTAATTATTACAATTAAAAACCAACATAAAAAGATGTAAATACTTAATATTCAAATGTTAACATTTTAGATTTCTCTTGCAGATAAGAGATAGCACCAAAGGACCAAACATTACATACAGGCTGGGAGTCTTGTATATATACATTTGTAAATATTGACTATCAGTTGGTTATGTAGAAGTGAAGTTTGTAAGACAAACACAGTAATTGAACTATTTTGTATATTAATAAATTTCTTGGTTTTTATTATTCAGTCTCTTCGATCTCTATTTTATAAGGACCTAATCAGTCTTTATTTAATGTAGAAATATAAGGAGGCATGTCTTGTTTAAAGCCTTGCTAATCTCAAATCCAGGTCCATGGACTGACAACATAGGGCTCACATTCCTTACCTGGGAGTTTGAGGATTGTTAAATCTGAAGTCCCCAGCTCACACCTTCTGAATTTCAACAGTATTCCCAGTTAGGTTGTATATACTCTGTAGAATTTGAGAAGTTGGCCTTAAACTTCGGGAATACTGGCATATAGTTATCCTGGAAGAGTTATGCTGTTGGCTTTAGGGCAGGAAGTGGTGAAACCAGATGCCTCATGAAACAGTAAAACCTGTGAGATGTATTTCTCTGTTAAACCATTAGCTTAAATATTATGAAGTGAACGATCTAGACAACTGGCCTAAACAGACTGATTTTAAGCTTTTGTTGTTTTTGTCCATTGATACATTCTATTTATAGTAGAGACGGGGGTCTCTCTTGTGCAGGCTGGTTTCGAACTCCTGACCTTGAGTGATCCTCCTGCCTTGGCCTCCCAGAGTGCTAGGATTACAGGCCTGAGCCACTGTGCCTGGCCAGAACAGCCATTTTTAGATTACCGCATAAATGTTATTTGACTTGATACAGCAAAATGTTAAAATCAATTTAAGATGCCAGGTTTATAATTTGAGTAGGAGCATGTTTTTCTTCACCACTTTGCCAGTATCTTGGACAGCTTAAATGTACATAATAATGGAATAGATTTCCAGTAGGCAGGGATAAATAAGCTGGATAATGTGAAAGGGCAGAATGTTAGAGGCAAGACAGATCACTTGAAAGGACAAACATCCAGAGATGACTATAGTGAATGGTGAGCAGGCTGTGCCCAAAGTCCTAAATTCTTAAGTAGAGTGACTTTCTACTTAAAGATAATTTGTGAAGGTCCTGAAAGGAAAATTTTCTCTACTCAAAATAGTCTGACATTAAGTGTGTTTCCCACACCAAGCAATTCTCTCCATTACTCTTTGTACCAAGTGTTATACAATGTAATTCAATTCCGAAGCTACCTAGAGTTAGTGTGGACCCTGTAGGTTAAGGGTTCAGTGCCATAAGACTATCCCTATGACAGTTGCAAGTAGGGAGAAACCAGGTTATTCACACTTTAGTCTGACTTTGCTGCAAATTTGCGGTTCCTGTGTATTTTTCCTTCAAGTTTGAGAATTTGCCTATAAAGTTTCACAGAACTGGGGGGGTACACTATCCTGCTGTTCCATTTCTATCCTTTATAATAAAGAGGTAAATGGAGTTAAACTAGAAAGGGAACTCCTGTCCCCATGGAATTTGGGGTGTGCCACCTCCTGGCACATGGATGGGTTCTCCAACGAGAACTGAACTGGGGAAGGGGGAGGTTACGGGGTTTACGGAGGTGCAATTGATTAAATCATTGACCACTGGTAATAGGCTCAACCTCAGTTCCTCTCCCCTTCCTGGAAGTAGAGGAGATTGGGCTGGAAGTTCTAACCGTCTAATTACTTGGTTTCTTTGACAACCAGCTCGTCCTCCCAAGTCACTGCATGAGCGTAAACTCAGGTATGGTTGAAAAAGGCTTGTGAATAATAGGTTCCCCACTGTTACCATTCAAGAAATGTTTTAGGCACTTATGCTAAGAACTGGGGATGAAAAACATATCACAGTATCAGTCTTCAAGTGGAACTTAACTATTAACTAAGGCTGTGCTGTCCAGTATTATTTATATTTTGTAGTAAGATAGTGCCTTGTAGTTATTTAAAATTCAGTTCCTTGGTCATACTAGCCAGTTCTAAAGAGTTCAAAAGCCATATGTGGCTAGGGGCTATCTTGTTTGAAAGTGCAGATATTTCCATTATAGACTTTTCTATGCCACCATCTTGAACATCTTAGAGCAACTCTAAAGGGAAAGTTGACCCTTTTGTGAAAACATGAAAAATTTGAATGTTACAATGGTTTGGGTATGTACATTCCTGGACATAACAATTTCTGTTATCTGTATAGGCTTTGGCCCACACTGTCTTCAAACTAGCAGTCTGTGAATTGAACAAGTGGAATTTTTGGAAGAAAGAGTAGCTACTCTTGGTAGAAACATGTTTCTTTCACATCCAGGTTAAGAATGAGTTACTGGGAGGGTAGTAAGTGCTTACTAAAGTGTCGTCGTGGCCTGTTTACAGGACAGAGGATGAACACAGAACACATAACAAACGTAGAACACAAAAACGCAGACACACATATAGACGGTTGACTGGAGTAATAATACACCGGGTCCATTTTATTTTTATACTTTAAATTTTTAAAGTTAGTTCCTTGTACGTAACCGCCCAGGCATTGCAGCAATGGCCATAAATTCCGGAATAGCCTTAGGGAAGCAGATGTCCCCTGACTCAGAATTTCCAGGTGGTTGCTCTAGGTGCCAGGCATAGATCACGGACCAAGATTAGCAAGGATGGGTATTGGAAAGAACACATGCTCTGATTCTGACCTATGTTCTTAAATACTAGCCTTTAACCACCTCGGTATGAGTGTCGACTACAGGTGATAGCCACAGATGAACGCGAACAGCCGAACGTCGACTTTAGCTTAAAAACAAAACTTTAGTTTAAAAACAAAACTTCTACAACAGTACTCCAAATGGAGGCAATACAACCCTTGTACTGCATCAGAAAATCTCATGTGTTTTAGAGAAAGACATTTTCCAGCACCTTACAATAGTGATAAAACAAAAAGGAAAAATCCATTAAGATGTATGCTCAAAAAGTAATAAAAGGTGTAGTACTAGATACTATTGTAAACAATGTAATGTTGGCCTATGTGTAGCCCCATGCTTTGAAATTTATACCAAATAATAAAATTTATCATAATATTCAAAAACTTGCCTTATTTATATGAATGAAATAAAACTAATTTTGAACCGACTTTTCTAATTTTTCATTTATCAAAATAAAATTGTGAGCATTTAAAAATAACATAAAAACATATATGTATATGTTACCTATTCTGATTTACATTACAAGTAAAGCTGCCTGTAAAGTAAAACAAGCTTTCAGTGCTTTAAAGCTTTCCTCGTCACACAAGAGCAAAAGAGATTCATTGTCAATGCCCAGCACAAACTATCGTGCGGACTATGAGTGCTGGCTGTGGGCAAGGTTTCTTGGCCATTGAGCGCCGTACTGAAGTGGTTAATAGCTAAGCAACTAGGCAAGTCATGTAACCTTGAGGAGGAAAAAAACCAGACTGTCCTCTGCTGTCACCACAACAATCAACATAGAATACTGTGACCAAATGTAGGGATTTCTTTTTACCAGCAAACAAGCAATTCTGCAGCAGATACCAGCTGGGTGTCCTCCAACTCAATTCTGATAACTATCTTACCTGGAGACAGTGTGAGAACCCACAGGTTGAGGGTTCAGTTCCCAAGACTGCCCCCCCTTTCAGATGCCAATTGCAAGCTCCAGATTGTTTTTACCTGTGTTTCTGACCCATGGTATAAATTGGGGGTTTCCATAACTCCCTCCCTGGGTTCGATTAATTTGCTACAGCAGCTCAGAACTTGAAAACACATTTACTGGTTTATTACAAAGGACACAGATGTGATGGATAGGGTAAGACATGTGATCTCTCTGGGCATGTCACCCTCCCAGAAATTCCCCATACTCCTTGGGCCTTTCATGGAGACTCCATTGGGTAGGCATGATTGAAGCAATACTAATAGACTGGGGAAATGAAGCACGGCCTGTCTTTTCAGTCTTCTTGGCATCTTTGTGCAGCATTTGTTCTCCCAGGTATCGGGCAACACCCCTTCTGAAATGGGGGTCTTATTACCTCTAATCAGATAAGATAAGTCAGACAGAAAGGCAGGAAAGGATTCTAGTCCTGTCTTGGGGAGAAAAAGGAGGGTAAGGAGAAGGTTAGAGGAAGATTTTGCTTTCTGAGGTGTAAAGCACCCAATATTATAACAAAAGACTGTAACAAGGACTGTGGGGCGTTATGAGCCAGGAACCCCTTTCCTCAGGTACAGGAAGTGTTTGGTTAGTTGCAATGGATATATGCGACTTCTGAGATTTCACTTCTACAGAGATCTTTTGTTTCAGACTTCACCATTAGCTTTTTCCTGCAGCCCATTAACGTGCTTGAGACTCCTCCACTTCCTCTTTCATTCCTTAGTCTACTGGCTTTTTCTATTTTGAGAAAGCCAGAGCTTTCGCAGAAAAACACGGGGGAAAGCTTCATTAGAGTCCTTCTCTCCTATAGGTCCCCTGGTCATTCCTCTCATCAAACAATGGCAATTTTGTGAGAGTTTGTGAGAGCAGGAAATCATTAGACGTCCACCTTACATTCCTGATTTGGCTCCTCCAGACTTGTTTTTGTTTCCTAATCTTAAAAAAAGATCTTTAAAGGGCACCGATTTTCTTCAGCTAATGTAAATAAAAAAGACTGCATTGACATGGCTAAGTTCCAGGACCTTCATTCTTTAGTGGTAGACTAAACCACTGGTATCATCACTTGCAAAAGTGTCTTGAACTTGATGGAGTTTATGTTGAGAAATAACGTTTATCTTTTAATTGCATTTTCCCACAAAATTTAAGTCCCCTCAAAATTGCAAAATATTTCTTATATTAAATGTTGACATTACATTTTAGATATGCTGGGTTAAATAATTAAAACAAACTCACTTTTCTTTTTACCTTTTTTAACATGGCTTTCCTATTTCTATTGCACATCACTGAATCTAGTATTTTGGTACAATTTCTCACTGTCAGCGCCATCTTGCTACACTGTCCACATGCTATATAGTAATAGCATATCACACTTGGGCAGCTGCATTCCAGTTATGTAATGATGGCTGGCCAGGGGGCACGTACACATGATCAGTTCTCTTCAGTGTTACAAAGTCTAGGAGGGAATTAACGTGCTAATAGGACTAATAGGACTTAATGGGGTGATTATGAAAAAATGCATAAATAATATAAACTATATTCTTGTCTGCATTCAACGGTTTTGGTACCCATCTAGTGGAAAGTTTAACTTTTTCAGTCAGAATTGTGTAAGCTGGGGGGGTGGCTCACGCCTGTAATCCTAGCACTCTGCGAGGCTGAGGCAGGTGGATCGCTCAAGGTCAGGAGTCCGAAACCAGCCTGAGCGAGACCTGGCCTCTAGTAAAATAGAAACTAATTGACCAATTAAAAATATATATACAAAAAATTAGCCAGGCATGGTGGCGCATGCCTGTAGTCCCAGCTACTTGGGAGGCTGAGGCAGGAGGATTGCTTGAGCCCAGGAGTTTGAGGTTGCTGTGAGCTAGGCTCACGCCACGGCACTCACTCTAGCCTGGGCAAGAAAGTTAGACTCTGTCTCAAAAAAAAAAAAAAAAAAAGAATTGTGTAAGCTGAACCAGTTGAGATATCCATGGTGTTGGGACTGTTTCTGCTGTTAATTGTTGGTTCTTTTCAATTAGGGCATGAACAAGATAGATTTTTTTCCTCACAAATTGACATGGATGGGCTACCTCTGTAGGCTTCATCTTCAACATCATCTTGCCACTTAAAATGAATTATCCATTTGTAAAATGCTGATTTATTTAGGACATTGTCTCCATAAACTATGTAAAGCATCAATGATTTCACTATTCATCCACATTAGCTTTTGCCAAAAATTTGATGTTTGTTCTTGCTTTAATTTTACCAGAATTCATGTTACTCTGATAGGGGCTCTTTTGAAACTGAGGTCTTATCATTCGTAGTGCCTCAAACTGGATGTCCTGTTGAGACATATGTCCTTATGTCTTGTTCAGACATAAGACACTATGAGCTTATTTTGGTGCAAAAAATGTTGAAATCCATCCATAGATTTTTCATAATGCACATTTACCATGACCTTTAAGATCCCTTATACATGTTTTTGTACCGTTTGCAATCCAGTGTCTTACACATAAAGCACACCTCAATTAGTACCAGCCACATTTCAAGTGATCCACAGTCATATCCAGAGTGTGGTTACCATTTTGGGAAGCACAGCCTTAGATATTAGGTTCAGGTGACATTCTTTCCTTTTTCTTAAGGGGTAAAGTAACTAGAGAAGCCAAGTTCACCAAATTCACCACAGCATGGTATCTTCTGGTTTTCTTCTATTAAGCTTATCTAGTAAAATAAAACTTGTTCTTATGAGTGGTCACGTTTGCAAAGGCTCAAGTGTGTGTCTCTGGGATCCTTCCTCAAAATTTTCTTTCATTCAGGGATTTACATGTACTTGTCTTTTTTCTTTGATCTTTTCCATTTTCTATGCTGGTTCTTTGTCCTTTGCCCATGATGAGGATTCTGTCTTTGGCCTACTTCTCACTCTCCAAGCTCTTTTGCCAATTTTCTCCATGCCTTTAATTACCATCTAATAGCACAATCCTCATAACCTTCTGAGCTCCAGTTTCCAGCACCTTCCCCCATCTCTTCAAAACGAACCTGTCCTATATTGAGCTTGTTACAGCATTGCCTGTTTGAGTTAGGGGCTTTACTACCCACCCAGTCACCTTCAGAGCAGTCCTCAAATCATACTGACATCTGCTTTTTTGGCTGAAACTGCAGTGGCTGTGGGGCATGCCTTTCCCCTTTGGGGACATCCTGTTTATCCTTCGAACCCAGGTCAGTATGACCTCTCTGAAGCCTAACCTTATTACTCTTTCTTTCCCCTTCTTTCTTTTCTCTTAGTACAAAGGTAATAAGTACTTCTTTGAAAATACTGGAGAAAAATCTAAATGTATGACAAATGATTACAGTGGACCCTTGAACAACACGGGTTTGAACTGCACTGGTCCACTTAAATATACTCATATTTTCTTCTGCCTCTGCTACCCATGAGACACCGAGATCTGTAATCATAGCACTCTGGGAGGCCAAGGTGGGCGGATCGCTCAAGGTCAGGAGTTTGAGACCAGCCTGAGTAAGAGCAAGACCCCATCTCTACTATAAATAGAAACAAATTAATTGGCCAACTAAACATATATAGAAAAAATTAACTGGGCATGGTGGCGCATGCCTGTAGTCCCAGCTACTCAGGAGGCTGAGGCAAGAGGATCACTTGAACCCAGGAGTTTGAGGTTGCTGTGAGCTAGGCTGACGCCACGGCACTCTAGCCCGGGCAACAGAGTGAGACTCTGTCTCAAAAAAAAAAAAAAAAAGACTCAACTGTTTTTTTTTTTTTTTTTAAATTGAGACAGAGTCCTGCTCTGTTGCCTGGGCTAGAGTGCCATGGCATCAGCCTAGCTCACAGCAACTTCAAACTGTTGGACTCAGGCGATCCTCCCACCTTGGGCTTCCAGAGTACTAGGATTACAGGTATGAGTCACTGCGCCCAGCCAAGTTACACTATGTGGAGTTAGAATTTTATATGAACTCTGTTGCCTCTGCCTAATAATTACCCTATACAAAAAACAAATATAGAAGTGGCAGTGAATGGGACCATTCTTCAAACCAATAATCAAGTATTCCTTAATTTTTATCCAGATGCTATATTTCATTAGGCATGAAATCACTATTACAACTTTAGGCTGCATTCGGCTTTTCCAAGTCTATGAGCATCTTATCAATCTCTTCTGTGGAAGGCACATGTGTTCCATGAAGAAGGCTGTTAGATTTTGGGTAGAACTCCTCTCCACTGAGAAAGAACTCCTCTCCACTGGTGGGTTAACACTATTAAGATCCTGTACTTTCAGAAAGGGACATTGTTTAGTGGTCAAAAATGGAAACACTTGGGATCAAACTTTGACTTCAAAATAGAATTCATTTTTGAGCACTACCTGTTTTATAATTAGGCAAAGAAAGAGTAAAGTTTAACATTACTTACTGCACATAATGAAAGTGTAGATATCCTTCACAGATAAGTGACATAGTAACAGTTAAATGATTAACACATATATAGTGTTTATTTACCATGTGCCAACCACTGTTTAAGTGAATTATATGAGCTAGTTCGTTTAATCTTTACAGTAATCCTATGAAGAAAGCATTATTCTCATTCTCTGGATAGATAGAAAAACAGGCAGAAAAATAGTGTGACACAGTTTATTAAGTGACAGACGCAGTCTCCACAGCCAGGAAACAAAGCTCCAGAATTAGCACCATTAAATTCAACCCCTACTGATAGCATACAAGAGTATGCTATTACATTACAACACATTGCCTTACTGTTTCTCTCTTACTCTTTCATATGTTCTAGGTCAGGCTTGATCTGCTTGGTCAACCGATGACACTGGTGTAACTAGGCAGCAACAAACTCTAAAAATAAAATGAAAACCGTAGGCTATTTTAGATGTTGGGGAACTAATAGACCTGTTATTAAATGGGTCATTAATAGGCTCATTCAATAAAGTAAAAGCCAATTTTACCTGAAAATCCAAGATCAGGGTTTTTCCTCCTCTTTGTCCTTTCCCATCTTTCTGCACTGATCTCCGGAACTTCATTTTCTCATAGTCTTCCCCTTTTGCTGCACATTCCTAAAGAGAAGGAAAAAATATTAGCTCTATTGCCTTGATTCCTTTATAAATCAAGAAAGAACTAAAGACTGCCAGCAAGACAGTAAACTGATCAACTTTCAAAGAAAATTGTGGAATTTGCTATGATCCTTAAAAAATACAGCTCTAACATTGACACTAAAAGTAACCATGGCAGATACATTATGCGTCCATCAAAATCCCTTCTCCCCTCCTTTCTGGGCTTATGGCTGTCCATTTCCCAGCCTCTCTTGCAGCTGGGTCAGACCAGGTAACTTAAGTTTTCAATAAAATAAGAGCAGAAGTGCTGAGGGCAGCTCTCATGCCTTAAGACCTCTCCACTTCTACCCATTCCCCTGCTGCTGGCTGGAACTTGCAACCATCTAGCTTCGCCCATGTGACAGCAATAATGTGTTAGGGAATGGCAAAGTAATAATGTAATGAATACTTATATAGGGCAGAGCTGCCTGTCTAACTTGGGCTGCCACCTAGGAACTGACACATGAGAAACTAATGAGCTTTTCTTTATCATTTGTTATTGTTGGAGCTCTTGTTACTGTAGCTTAGCCTTTTACCCTAATACCCATTGGTTATGTAGCTCTGTGTTCCAGGCACTGTTCTACATATTTTACATATTTTATTCTCACAATGATATAAAGTACAGATGAGGAAACTAGATCCAGAATACTTAACTACCATGCTATATACTGCTTCAATAAAACACAATATAATATTTGAATCCATAGTTTATGAGGATGGCAGAACCGTACTTATTTTCTTCTTTTCTTCTTCCTGCAAATCCCATTCCAAACAAGCTTTTTTAGCTTCTCAGTTTGCAGGTAACTTAAGCTTTTTATCCTCCTTCACAACTTCCTGGTGATTTAATTTTTGAGCTTCATTCTGTCACCGGGACACATATAGTTTGTAAGTATAGGCATGAAAACCAATTCAAATAGATGTTACCTGTCTTGGTGTCCTATAGGCCAGGCCCAGCAGAGGTTTGGATTTTATCCTGAAAGGAGGGTAGCCACTGGAGGATTGTATATGAGTGTGTGTTTGGGGTGGGGGCTGGGGAGTGGAACAGTGATTAGATAAACACTGTAACTATACCTTTAGGTATTATTTTACTGCCTTCAGGGAACAACGCGTGGTAGAGATGGAAAAAGCAATAGTTTGGGAGTAAAAACTGAGGGGTAGTACTGTCTTGACTTCTCTCTGGCTGCATGGTATTTTTCTTCTTTTTTTCTTTCTGAGACGGAGTCTCACTCTGTTGCCCTGGCTAGAGTGCTGTGGCATCAGCCTAGCTCACAGCAACCTCAAACTCCTGGGCTCAGGCAATCCTCCTGCCTCAGCCTCCCGAGTAACTGGGACTGCAGGCATGCACCACCATTCCTGGCTAATTTTTTCTATATTTTTTTCATTGGCCAATTAATTTATTTCTATTTTTAGTAGAGACGGAGTCTCGCTCTTGCTCAGGCTGGTTTTGAATTCTTGACCTTGAGCAATTCTCCCGCCTCGGCCTTGGAGAGTGCTAGTATTACAGGCATGAGCCACTGCGCCAGGCCCCAGAGTTATTTTTGTGTACTTCAAATTGGTTTTTATATTTTATGCTATCATTTAAATTTTATACATAGACATATTTTCATTTGGGGATTACCTTTCCATTTTTACCTCTAGTAGTTGTTAGTGCAGGAAAAAATAACTTTCTTATATTTTTCTTGTATTCAGCACCTTACTGAGTCATCTTCTTGCGTGTGTATGTGGGTGAGGGAGAAGAGCTGGGAGTGGGTGGGGAGAGGGAGGGAGCCTGAATTATCTTAATAACTTTAGCACTGTTATTAATTCTGGCATTGCTTCCTTGCTGGGCACATAAGAGTGAACAAGAAGCTAGGCGCGGTGGCTCACGCCTGTAATCCTAGCACTCTGGGAAGCTGAGGCTGGAGGACCGCTTGAGGTCAGGAGTTAGAGACCAGCCTGAGCAAGAGTGAGACCCAGTCTCTACTAAAAGTAGAAAGAAAATTAATTGGCCCACTAAAATATATAGAAAAAATTAGCTGGGCATGGTGGTGCATGCCTGTAGCCCCAGCTACTCGGGAGGCTGAGGCAGAAGGATCGCTTGAGCCCAGGAGTTTGAGGTTGCTGTGAGCTAGGCTGATGCCATGGCACTCTAGCGCCCAGGCAACAGAGTGAGACTCTCTCTCAAAAAAAAAAAAAAAAAGGCAGTTAAACAATCATGCTTAAATATTTACTTAGATTATGTAAAGAACACATGTCTAGAAATTAGGAGATATGACTTCTGGATGAACTGCTACCAGCCTGTGACCTAAGAAACATCTAGCTCAAGTTTTCCTTGAGATGATGTACTCATTTTGTTTTATATAGTTAAGTTTATTTTAATTTTTATTTTTTTGACCTCTCTCCAAGTTAGGTTTATTTTAAAATAGACTCTTCTAATGGAAAGTTTCCTTCATTTGTCATAATATAAACTGTTAAAATATTTTTAAAAGGAGAGGGAACTTGGAAAGAGTTAGAGATATTAAGATAGGTATTAAAGCTCTCCAGTCCCAAATTGAGGCTTTTACCTTAATTTAATCAGGATTACAAGAGAATTGAAAATAGAATATCTTTCACATCATGTTATTTATATGTTACTATCTAAAGTCTGCTTAAGTGCCACTGTAGTATGGCTCTCCCACTTTTTGAAACCTTGTTCTCATCCAAACCAAAGGGACCACACAACTAAACAGAGATAAAACTGATATTATTTAATCCCTAAGGCTCTGGAACAACAAACCAGTGCAGTCCAGCACATTTTTCTTGACTGTATACAAATGCAAACCTTACTGGCTGTTCCCTTGCTTAAAATCCTTTGATGGCTCTCTGTTGCTTTTAGGATAAAATGGGATCACCTTGTTAATATATCCTGTCTGACCCTCTTTGAAGAAACCAAGATCTACCAGTATTTGGATTTATTTTCTTGTTTCTGCTGACAAACTTTTTGTGTTATGGTTTTAGAATGAAGCTCGTAAATTAAATCACCAGGAAGTTGTGGAAGAAGATAAAAGACTTAAATTACCTGCAAATTGGGAAGCCAAAAAAGCTCGTTTGGAATGGGAACTGCAGGAAGAGGAAAAGAAAAAGGTTAGGAACTACTCTGCTATCTTAAGTGATTATTCAGTAATTCTATTGTATTAAGACAGTACAACAGGGTGGTTGAGCACACTGGCTCTGAAGCCAAACTGCCAAATTTTACTAGCTGCCACACTTGGGCTAGTTATTTAAACTCTCTGTACCTCTCTTTTCTCATCTATAAAACAGGGACTATAATAATTTGAATTAATTATGAATTAAATGATTTCTTTTTTTTTTTTTTTTCTTTTTGGACAGAGTCTTGCTTGTTGCTCAGGCTAGAGTGTGTGTGGGTTACCTAGCTCCAAGCAACCTCCAAATCCTGGCTCAAGCAATCTACTGCCTCCAGCTCTCCGAGTAGATGAGACTACAGGCAGGCAACCATGCTGGCTAATTTTTTTCTTAAATAATTAGTTGGCCAATTAAGTCTCTTTCTATTTATAGTAGAATAGGCTGCGTTCTCCGCTGGTTTGAACTTCTACTCGGCATCTCCAACCTCGGCCTCCCAGACGTGCTAGTATCAGGGTGAGCCACTGAACCCAACCTGCCCTTGCTTGACGTGCCAATACCAGAGCTTGAGCTCCCCTTAGATCCATGCTAGCAACAACAAATTTGACTAGCTCCCTTCTAACGATGTCCATGGATTCGCCACAGGTTTCCTGATTGTCTCTCTTCAGTGCAACATAACTCAATTTGTTGCCTTGGTAGTCTTGGTGTCACAACGGAGGGCAATTCCAGAGCAAGATATCATGAGGGAGTATTGAGAAGAGTATCTGTTTTTGCCTAGGAAAGCTTATGGATAAGCAAGTTAACGGCCTGGCGAGTTGGCTCACTGTATCTAGCCTCTGGAGGCCGAGGCAGGAGGAAATCGAGCTGGCCGCCCAGAAGCGCGAACAGAGACTGCGCAAATTCCGGGAGCTACACCTGAAGCGAGTGAGTAATCTCAGAGGCTATCTCAGACCTGACCTCTGGTCAGTCCTGTGTGCGTTTGTAGAGGAACTGGGAAGCCCCACCAGCGCGCCTGACACCGCGGAGCTGGAGCTGGATCATCCCCTGAGATGAAAGGTTTATACTGGTGGTTCTAAATCCTGGCAGCACATTGAAATCACTTTGAGAACTTTTGAAAATGCACCTGTTCACTCCAACGCCCTTCCCTCCCACATCTAATTTAATTTATCTGGCTAGGTTTGGGAGTCTCTATTACTAATACTGACAGCCCCCTGCTCTATGATTCTAACAAACTCTTCATTTTAACTAGGTAAATATGTAGAGTTAGAGACAGGAGGAAACTTGTCCAGTGTCAATAAGAGAGGTGGCTACTTCATTTAAAAAATATGAGTCTCTACAGGACTCAACTTAATAGCCAGAAATTTACTATGGTAAATACATGCTAGAGATAGGAAAAAAGTGCCCTGGAAGTGCAGAAGAGGAGAGATTAATGCAGTTTGTGGGGCTCTGGTGACACCTAAACTACTGTTTGAAAGCTGAATATGATATTATTTAATATCAGACAAATAAAGGAGACTGAGGGTCAGACATCCAAGCAGAGAGAATGAGAATTCATGTTAGGAATAAGAGTGTAGCAAATAGTTCACTGTAGTTGGAGCTGAGAAAGAAAAAAGCAGCTCCTGACTATTTCAGCATGGAGTAGCCTGACTGACCGGACTCAGTTTCACAGAACCCCAACATCTCTCTGACTATTGTAGTGAGACAAAACCAAGAAGACTGTTCAAACCACAGAAATAATCACACATCCTTTTCTTCCGGCTAACAGCAGTGTCTGTTATTACCAAATACAGTATTAGTCTCATTCCATTACTCTTTGTATATAAAAATTTAAGCTATCTAATTATGGAATGCCCTTTCTTCCTTTCTTTCCTTTCTTTCTTTCCTTCCTTTCTTTCCTTCCTTTCTTTCCTTCCTAAAGAGACCGGTGAGCGCGGCTTATAGTAGCTTGTGCGGCGTCAAGGGTTGGCGGAGGTCGTGTTGTTGCCGAAGTGGAAGAGCAGAGTGTGTTGCGGCTGGGATTGAACTGAGAAGGGTGAGAGACGTCCTACCAGGGGATACTTGGAGGTAGGGAAAGGAAGTAGAGTGGAGGCGAAGCCTGTCGGGCCAGAGCGCAAGCAACGTCGGGGTTTGGGCCGCGTGAGGGTGAGGCCGGCCTACTGGCGGTGGGACGTGGCTGCTCTTGGGGAAGCGAGCAGCCCGCCTAACGTCGCTCTTGCCCAGGTGCGGTAGACCGCGCGGAGGAGGGGCCCTCAGCCCCGAAGAGCTGGCGCCGACCGCGAAAGAGCTTGCGCACCGGCGCTACACCTGAGCGAGTGAGTAATCAGGGCATCTCGACTGCATCTGGTCATCTTGTGGTAGAGGAACCTGGGAAGCACCCAGCGCGCTGAACCGCGGAGCTGGACGCTGATCATCCCCGATGAGAATGCGTTGATTCCCGGTGGTATCTAATCTGGCAGCAATTGTCCTTGTGAACTTTAATCCGTACCCACCCGCCTTCTTCCCTCCCAACATCTAATTAATTATCGCAGGTTGGGAGTCTCTAATTACTAATACGACAGCCCCCTGCTCTATGCTAACAACCTTCATTTTCTAGTATATACTGTAGATTCAGCGGAGAACTGTCAGTGTCATAAGAGGCCT